ATACGAACAGACACTTTACAAAAGAAGACATACATGAGGCCAACAAACATATGAAAAAAGGCTCATCATCACTGGCCATTAGAGAAATGCAAATCAAAACTACATTGAGATACCATCTCACGCCAGTTAGAATGGCGATTATTAAAAAATCTGGAGACAATAGATGCTTGAGAGGATGTGGAGAAATAGGAACACTTTCACACTGCTGGTGGGAGTGTAAATTAGTTCAACCATTGTGGAAGACAGTGTGGCGATTCCTCAAGGACCTAGATATAGAAATTCCATTTGACCCAGCAATCCCATTACAGGGTATATAGCCAAAGGATTATAAACCATTCTACTATAAGGACACATGCACACGAATGTTCACTGCAGCACTGTTTACAATAGCAAAGACCTGGAACCAACCCAAATGCCCATCGATGATATACTGGACTGAGAAAATGTGGCACATATACACCATGGAATATTATGCAGCAATCAAAAACGATGAGTTCATGTCCTTTGTAGGGACATGGATGAATCTGGAGAACATCACTCTCAGCAAACTGACACAAGAACACAAAATGAAATACCGCATGTTCTCACTCATAGGCGGGTGATGAACAATGAGAACACATGGTCACAGGGAGGGGAGCACTACAGACTGGGGTCTATTGGGGGGAATAAGGGAGGAACAGCGGCGGGGGGAGATGGGGAGGGATAGCATGGGGAGAAATGCCAGATATAGGTGAAGGGGAGTAAGGCAGCAAATCACACTGCCACATGTGTACCTATGCAAGTATCTTGCATGTTCTTCACATGTACCCGAAAACCTAAAATGCAATTTAAAAAAATCCATACTCACAGTGATAATAAAGATATACAAACAACAAGAACAGAAAAGAAAATACTTTCACGAAAACATTGGTCATTTAGAAATGCTAGCTCGGTTTCCTGTAATGCAGAAAGCTTTGTCTCTTAAATCACTAAAATTTTTTGATAAAAAAATACTTTGAATGGAATTGTTTCTAAATGTCTTTAATACCATAGAAAGAACATTATGAAACAATCTAATACTTTCTTGATGATCCAGGCTTGGTAGACAAAGATGAATGATTGTACTGGGCCAAAAACTTCATGTGGCATTTAATAATTGTTCACGTTCATGGAGCCACTCATGTCTGCCAGAAATGACCCCAGATTGCTTTGTTTTTTAAAATTTAGTATTTGCTCTTTACAGGTATCAAATCGAATTTTTCTTTTCTTCAAAGAACAAGAAAATTACTTGCCATAAGGCTGAGGACACTGCTGTAGCTGCTGTCAGTGGGCCCCTTTTTGTTACTTTTACTTTCCAGTATTTAATCTAGTTCCAACTTGAAAAATCAAGCAACTCCCTGCTGGGTGCAGTGGCCCATGCCTATAATCTCAGCACTTTGGGAGGTCGAGGAGGGCGAATCCTTTGAGGCCAGGAGTTTGAGACCAGCCTGGCTGCCAGGCCAACATGGTAAAACCCCATCTCTACTAAAACTTCAAAATTAGCCAGGTGTGGTGGTACACACTTGTAATTCCAATTGTGCACCACCAGACCTGGCTACTTGGGAGGCTGAAGCAGGAGAACCACTTGAACTCAGGATGCAGAGTTTGCAATGAGCTAATATCACAACACTGCACTACAGCCTGGGCTACAGAGACTCCACTTCAAAAGAAAAGAAAAATCAAGCATCTAAGTTTGTTGGGTTGCGGTTATCAAGCATAATGACATCTGAGTGGGGTGAAGAGGTTTTGCTATGTGTAATAAGCCTGAGCTATTCTCTTGTAGTCAGAGGACTTTAACTTTTTAGGGGATATTTTAACTTACTTCTGGGTTTTCAAGTATATTTTCAGTAATTGAGGCTGCTGGGTGGTTGAGCTTAAGACAGGGGAAGTACCACCATAACATATTCCTATTTGAATCAATCATTTTTTTTCAGAATGAAATGTATTTAGAACTCTGCAAATATCTGTTGAAGAAGGAAAAAAAAGCCAATGTCAATAAGGTGGTGTAAGACTGTTGTTTGCCTGAACTTTTTTGATGCTAAGTGATTTTTTTTTTAATTTTCAATTTTTGAGGGTGCATGAGGTATTTTGATATAGGCAAACAATGTGTAATAATCGCACAAAGGTAAATGGAATATCCCTTACCTCAGGCATTTATCCTCTGTGTTACAAACAATCCAATTATACTCTTTCAGTCATTTTTAAAGATACAATAAATTACTAAATCATAGAATTTAAAAATGACATTCTAGCCCTTCACTTTGGCTGGGTTCTGAAGTAGGTATTCAGATAATTAGAAACTATCTGATTCCTAATTACTAATTAGGAATTCAGATAATTAAACTCAGTCCCTCTTTTATGTAGTAATAAAATCAAAATCAGTCTACTGCCTCACATAGCATGTGGAATACATATTTAAAGCTCCAAAAATAATTAAATAACTTGCTGTTTGTCAGTGTTCTTATTCAATGTAAGGTCTCTCAATTAAATTTGTTTTTACTGAAATGCATCTCGAGTGAGTCAGCCTGTATTTTGAGATATTATAAGAAACAGCTTCATGGACTCCATCATGTTAACTGTACAGATGTTTGACAAGCATTTACACAATGTCTCCCTCAGGAGATGTTTCTCTGAGGTTTCATGACTAGGAATATCTAAGCCTCTCAAGTGTCTGATTTGTTTGTACAAATCAGACATAAGTCACAACATTTCTCTCTTTGCATTGACTGCCAGAAAGCTCAAGGCCCAATCAGTGATAATTGCACAGGACATCATGGCATATATATATTTTGAAGTTTTAAATTTACTTGTGACTTTATTATATTTTCTACTCTAGTTTTTCATTTATTTTTCCCTTAGGTTTCATCTTGATATTATTGTATTTCAAAAGATTACCTTTTCAAAAGATTACCTATCCATCAGATAAGATCTAGAAATCTTATTTAATGGCATGAATTTGAGACATACCAAACTCTTAACATCATGTAAGAGAAATACATGGTGGTCTCAACACATCAGAATTTAATATTTGGTTCTAGAGAAACTTGGTTTTCTGCTATATATTGGTAATCTCAAATTTTAAGACATGTGAGAATCACTTGGGCTGGTGATGGAGTCTGTAGGTCAGAGTTAGGCCCAGGATCTGCATCAGGCTCCCAAGTGAATAGATTCTGGTGCAGATGATTCACAGACAGGCCCTGGAGAAGTAATACTGATGTCTATGTCTTGGTATCTTACAGACATAACATGTTGAAATAACCCTATGCACTACTTTTAAAAATCATTCCTTCATAAATTAAAAAATATCTGAAATGATGGTATAAATGTAAATACCCAACCCCTGGACAAATATTTCAGAAAGGTCGCTCTCCCTTTAACTATTTACGTTTAAATTTTCTTAGGACTTCTTTCTACTGAAGCACTAGGTACATCAACTCCCCTCAAAGGCTATGTGGGGTACATTATTCAAAGAAAGACTAGCATGTGAACCTTGAAACAGGCATCACATCTTCCTTGTCTTTACAACCTAATGCCAGGAAGGACATTCAAAATGTGTATCAATCAGCACAGTAGGGCCCACCTATTTGAATGGACTTTGGCTGCAGCATTATAGCAGGGAACTAGAGCCCCTTGCCAAGCCATGAGTTATCCTTTTAAGTTGCTGGATTGGGAGAGGTCCAGGATTCTGTGGGATAAGCAACTAGGGTGACCATGGTGATAGAGGGCTCAAGCAGGTGACCATTTATCAACTGACAGAGAAGTATTTTAATACCTTAATTGCCAGTATGGCAGTATGGCCATACTTGTACATACCAGCCGAAGAGCAGGCCACCTAAGACATGCTACAAATGCTCTTCACATTTTGAACTCAAACAAGGAATGGGCAGTGGGCCACCACAGCCAATATCCCTCAGGCACCATGCCAACCCTGGCTGAGATAGGTCACTGGAGTGAAGCAGGGAGCATCTTGCTAGCCTTAAGCATCCCTGGGGAGGAGTTCCCCTTCCTGTAAGCAAGTCCTCTCTGGTAGACAGTTCATTTTATCTTATCTGGTACAGATCTAACATATGGTAGGTGCTCATTGCTGCTATAATGAATAAATTGGCCCACAGTCCCTGACCTGCTTATTAGTGTTAAGTTAGGCCAAACTGAAGCCAGACCTCTGTCACTTTCCTCCAGCCTCTGCCCATGTATTGTCCTACTTGTACCTTGTCCTGTCCTGTCCCTCCCTTGGCCAAAATGTGAAAATAGTTCTGTATCTTTTTCCTTTGAGCAGATTTTGTAATCGAGGTATTGAGCTAACAATGAATCCCAGGGTCTCCACCTGCAAGTTTGTAAGTTATCTAGAGCCATGTACTTGAACAGGCTACAGGTTAGTGTCATTCATCTTGTGACATCTTGAGATGAGATTCTCTCTTAAATTCTTGAGAGAGAGCTAAGATGTCCCTCCTGGCAGTGCAGTAAATGAAAATTTAGAAAAAAGGATGCAATCAGAGAGCCCAGGAGAAGGAGGAGAACAACCTACTTCACTTGTTCAACAACTATTTGAGCATCTACTAAGTCAGGGAATTGTGCTGGGCACCAGGGCTAGTTCAGTGATGAAACAGACACCCCTGCTGAAAGCTGCAGTCATGTAGGGGAGTCAGACATTCAACAACTAACCACACAATCATTTATTTAATTACAACAGTGAAGACTGATATGAAAAAGATCAGAGTGTCATGCACAGTATGTGGGTGGCAAGGCAAGGTTTGTCAGGCAAAGCTTCCCTTGGGAAGTAAGCTAGGTGTTCTTCTTCACTCATTCATCAATGCTCCAGAGAGCTCAGCATCTCTTGTGAGAACTTTCCAGGGTTCCCAGCTAATGGTCATGAAACACCAACCTAGATTTTACTTATTATTTTTTTCTCATTCCCTTGCCAACTTTTTTCTTTTTACTAATGTAAGTACTTTTAAAAGACAAAAATAAGCCACTATAAAAACCTGTATATCTTTTTGATGTTCCTCTTTCAAAATCTGAATTTCAATTTTGTGTCTTTCATTTGCTTCTTCAAGTGCTTTCTCCACTGCTTGTTTTTGAAGTTCATTAGCCTTTGAAAGAAAGAGTCCATTTATCTATTAATATATCAGAATAAGCACAAAGCAACATGTCTTACTGGGATGTTGGTAAATCAGGTTTTTAAGTTTATTGAAAATTAGCAACCACCATGGAATCCCTAATTTCTTGCCCCATTCCTATCTCAAATGTCTCATAGCAAACTGTCTGCCTTAGCCAGAGATGCTCTAACGCATCCCAATCCATGGCTAGCTTTGCTGTTTCTGGAATCACTAATGGCAAGTCAGTTTTACTATATGTAGACTGCTGGGTTGCCTTTCCTCTTTGGCACTTTATTCCTTGCTTGATTGACTCTCAAAGTAACATATGTGCATTGTGGAATATCTGGAAAACACAGTAAAGTGAAAAGATGCACAAAGCTAGAAGGAGCTGAGTAAAGAGGCTGGTTCCCCACATCAGGTCTTCAGAAAGAACTTTATTTGAAGAGAGTACACAGAACACTAGATCAACTTATATTCAAATTGTGGACTACTCACAAAAGCATCACCTTGTATTAGGATGTATAATTGATGGTTCACAATCAGTCTGAATTTTACCACTAATAAAAGTAGATGACTACAAAGATTTTGAGATAAATCAAAATCTGGGGTATGCAGAACTGGAGTATTATGTATGTTCAAAATATCTTCATAGTAAGCTTTTGCTGGCATTAATACTGGACAATGCTATTTGCTATAATGTCTATTTTATAAAGAAACTGAGAAACATTGTTCTAAGCACTGTGGCTTGTTCTGCTTTCAAGGAGCTGTAATTCTCTTTAGGAAGTTATTGATGTCATTCTATGATTGGAAGAAGTGGGGCTGCAGGATTGAAGCTTTGCTTCAGTTTGATGCCTTGGATACCACTGTTGAGCCCTGATATTCAAACTGCCCTTACAGTATTCAGCAGTTGTATGAACAAGGTGTCAAGGATTTGAGAGAGAGGGGAGGAAAAGGGGAGTAGGCCATAATGAAGCATTTTAAAAAACAGGGGTATTACATGCTCCACAAATGGATGGTCTATATATTAAATGTTAGGCCATAAGAAACAACTATTGACAAGAAGTCTTCTTAGTTCTTTTTTTCTTTTAGTTTTGGTTTCATTCAAATGAGAATAAAGGGAGCAGGAGTCCTTTATACAGAGGGCAGCTGAGAAGGAAGGAAATGTGTGATGATGCCGGCTTCTTAATAAGCCCTTACTGTGTGCCAGGCACATTATTTCATTGAACCCTCCCAACTATCCCATAGAAAGAGTACTATTATTACTCTTATACAATGAAGCAACCAAGACTACAGAGGTTGTAGAACTTGCCCACAGTCCCACGGCCAGCCAGGATTCAGTCAGTTCTGATTCTACTACACTATATGACTGTTTCAGACAAATCCAGAATGTGGAAGAACTGTAAAGATGGAATTTAGGTTCATGTCTAACTTCTTTTACCTGAGCCCATACTTCAGCTTCTGCTTTTGCAATGCATTCTCTGAGTATATCTTCTTGAAACTGTTCTTCTTTTTCCAGAATATTTGCCCCAGTATCTGTGTGTTTGAAGAGAAAGGGTCACAAACCTCCACCGACTGCTTCCTGGCTTTCCTTTCCACTGTTATCTAGTCATTTATGAGGGCTGTTTAGGAGATACATCCTTATAGGAGATGCCAGTATATATATATTTCAAAGATACCCATTGAAAGGGTAAGTTTTTCTCTAACTGATTAGGAAGGAATTCACAGAATAGAGGAATTCACAGGCCTGAATAGAGTTGGTCATTCATCTCATCACACCCAGGCCACACAGCAGATAACTGAGGAGGTGAAATAAATGCCCTGTGGAAAGAACACATTTTGTACACCCAAAGTAGAATGATGAGTGAATATTCAAGAGGTCTTAGCACATTATACAGATCTCTCTCCCTGCTCCTATGTGGGTGCTAGGGCTAGCATCAGAAGAGCAGAAGTGAAATGCCTTCAACACATTACATAGCTTTCTTTAGTGTGTGGTTCTTTTTGAGTTTAACTGCTTCAGTGTGGAGTGAGCTAAGGGGTAGAAGTTTAATATTTTTCTGCCAATGATCTAATTTGCCAAATAATATTCCCATAGTAATATCCTGTCTACCCAGACAAGGTAATGAAAGTGTAGGGAGGTTAGAGAACCACACAATATCAGCCAGAGACAGAGCTGAACCTGGTGCCAAGATCTGAGCTCTCTGAGCTGGGCACAGGGTCTTTCCATCTTCTCCTGCCAGAATGGGTTGTCTGAGGTGGCTCATAAACTGTTACAGGAATGACAAACCCTCTGGATGCTGAAATCACACACAGTGATATCTTTCTCTGACCCAAACTCTTAGTCTTTATTCTTTATTCCACTTATTTCTCACATGCTAAATGTGTTGAATTATTAACTTTTCATGTGATTAGGTCTTGATGCTCCATATCCTAAAATTATGAAGCACATCTTATACTGTTGTGTATCTCTGATGGTGCCTAGTTTGGCAATAAGCACAGATAAGACATTTGTGAACATGTGTGTTTTTCTGCCCAATGTTTCTTCTCTCTCTGGATAACAGGATCCATTTCTGTCAAGAACTTCCCTCCCTAACCTTGGGTAGTTCTGGTGGGACTGCCAATTATAGCAACCTTCTTGGCCCTTTTTACCCTCTCCTCCAGGTCACAATAATTGACCAGGATTGGGCAAATGCTCAAGACTGTTAACTCGGCTCTTGCCAAGGATTTTATGTAAGGATGTAAGGAGAATATAGGTCTTTTTCCACTAGGATTTCTTTTCTTTTTCTCTTTTGGATAGGGAGTCTTGCACTGTCACCCAGGCTGCAGTTCAGTGTCGCCATCTTGGCTCACTGCAACCTCCGCCTCCCAGGTTCAAGCAATTCTTCTGCCTTAGCCTCCCGAGTAGCTGTGATTACAGGTGCCTGCCACCATGCCTGGCTAATTTTTGTATTTTTAGTAGAAATGGGTTTTCACCATGTTGGGCAGGCTGGTCTTGAACTCTTGACCTCAAGTGATCAGCCCACCTTGGCCTCCCAAAGTGCTTGAATTATAGCATGAGCCACTATGCCTGGCCTTACTCTAGGATTTCTAAGCTGAAGGAAATAGATTTTTTTTAATTGCATTTTAGGTTTTGGGGTACCTGTGAAGAACATGTAAGATTGTTACATAGGTACACATATGGCAGTGTGATTTGCTGCCTTCCTCCCCATCATCTATAACTGGCATTTCTCCCCATGCTATCTCTCCTCAACTCCCCACCCCTTGCTGTCCCTGGTGATAGATTTTTTGAGCTATCTGGATACATATGCCTCCTTTCCCAGCTGCTGGAGTAAGTCTAGCTGCAGTAGTAAACCATTAAGCCAACTCACTAAAGGAGTTAGACAGATTGAAAGCTTTGATGCCAGATCCCCCCTGGGTTTCTCACTTAAAAGGGTCAAGATATTCCATTTTATGTAGTCTATTCTAAGTTATGTTTCTGTCAGTAGCAATTAAAAGTATATGTTTGGTGGCATAGAGTCTTTGCTAGTACTTCATCAGTGAATCTTAAAAACACAGGGCAGCAAATATTATGGCAGAGATGGACACATACCGCAAAAGCCCAACATCATGTAGAAATAATCAGAAAAGATTTTCTAGGATGAAATGTGACTAAGCATGGACCATCAACGTGTTGAACTTCATAAAAATATGATACAAGTGTAGGCTACCACTATCCTCTTTAATGTTTAAATCCCATCACTTTATATTAGTTGTCCTCAACCCTGATTGTACAAAAGTATCCCTGCAAAGCTTTTTTAAAAAATGCACATACTGTAAAAGGAACAAACTATTAATAAACAACTTGGATGAATCTTAAAGGCATTGTGCTGAGTGAAAAAAGCCAATTTCAATGGGTTATATAATGTATGATTCTGTTTAGATAGCATTCTTACAGTGATAACATTATAGTGATGGAGAACAGATTAGTGGTTGCCAGGGGTCCAAGTTTGGGGAGAAGAGAGTGACAATTAAGGGGTAACATGGGGGAGTTCCTTTGAGATGATGGAACAGCTCCATGTTGTGATTGTGATGGTTGTTACATTAATATATACATGTGATACAATTCATAAAACTCTATGCTAAGGGGGAAAAAAGTATACATAACGTCTGTACCTGAATTAATAGTATTGTTTCAATGCCAATATCCTGGCTTTGACAAAGTACCAGGATTATGTCAGATATGGAAGCTAGGTGAAGGGCACAAGGGAACTCTGATCTATTTTACAACTTGTGAGACTTAAACTATCTCAAAATAAAAAAGGTTATTTAAATGTGAAGAAAAAAATACACACGCTTAGTCCTGACTGTAGAGGTCCTAATTTAGTGGCTCTATGTTAGATTAGTATTAAATCCAGTGGGTCTGTGTTTCGATATCTGTACTAATATATTTTCAAAGTTCTATACAGTGCACTGCTAAGATTGAGAACCAGTGTACTATGAAATACTCAGTAGCTCTTCTATGGACATTTCAACATGCTTTTGAACTTACTTATAAAGAACAGAGAATTTAGACTTTTTAAAAAACTTAAAACAGTTCAATGACAAATAAAGGCCATTGAATGGAAAAGATTAATTTCTAACAATAGATTTAACTTATCCATTTAAGGTTTGGGTTAGATATTCCATAAGGCATAAGGAATCAATCATTAAGGTGTATCTAAGAATGGAGAAACACTGTCTTGGGTATGAAAAGTCAAATCACTTTAGAGATTATAATGAATCATTCATACTAAGCATTTACTAACTGCTAAAAAAACAATTTTGGTATTTATGTTTTTGAATATGATTCCAATTTGATCTCCCCCCTACATTTTAGTGGTTTTTCCCCCAAACACATCTGCTCTTCAACTTCTCATATTTTCAAATATCAGGAGTGAAATAAAATCACCCTTCATTTACCATTTTAAAGGAAGAGAGGATCAGATAAGTATTTTGAGAGTCCTTAGGAAAATACTTACAAGGCCCAAGGTCAGATTGAAAACTCTTATGGGGATAAAAGCGAGACAGAAAGCTATAGTACAATTTGATTTGCTTATGTATTATATATACATATGTATGCACAGTAAATGTTCTCATGTTATCTATATGTAACTACTTTCATGCCACATTTATTGGGATTTTTTTTTTTGAGGCAGAGTCTCGCTCTGTCACCTAGGCTGGAGTGCAATGGCATGATCTCAGCTCACTGCAACCTCCACCTCCTGGGTTCAAGTGATTCTCTTACTTCAGCCTCCCAAATAGCTGGGATTACGGGCACGTGTCACCACACCTGCCCAATTTTTTTTTTAGTAGAGACAGGGTTTCACCATGTTGGCCAGGCTGGTCTTGAACTCTTGGGCTCAAGCAATCCGCCCACCTCGGCTACCCAAAGTGCTGTGATTACAGGCATGAGCCACCATGCCCATCCAATTAGGGTATTATTTAGAGATAATATTTCCTCTCCTACACATACTGAAGGTACCCAAGTATGGCCAAGGGCAAAATGAACTCACATTTACTATTATGTGCCAGGATTTATAATAGATACAAATACTTCATTAAAGTACCCTAATAACCTGTAAGATAGGTATTAATATCTTTATTTCCATATAAGCAGACAAACTGAGAGGCTAAATACCTGCCCAATACACACAACTGTTAAGTGGAGAAGCTGTATTCCAACCTATATTATTTTTAAACATCCCAGTAGGGACAAGAACGATGAAGAGAAAAAAGCTGATAAAAGTTTATGTAACAGAAAGAATGAAGGCTATGAAGTGTTAGAACAAAGGAAAACAATAAAGTCACTTACCTAGTATGTCTTTGTGAGTGTAAAAGTGTGTCTTAAGTGGCTTGTATTCATGGATCCGTGTGAAGGTTTTTCCAAAAGGGGCTGGTGGAATTATTTTATTACAAACAGCACAGCAAACAAAGTTTGTGTAATCTGAATTTCTGATCATAGTTAAATATCGTGTGTCTTCTGCTATTTACAGTTAAAATAATCTTAGAATCAGAAAAAGACGTTTCAAGAAAAGCTGAAAGTTTAAGAAAGCTGGAAGAGGCTGAGTTTTAGGATAATGCTAGAGGCTGGTAAGGATGAAATGATTCACATGATTAGGCAGTGGTTATGTGCCTAACATTAAAGAATGGTACCAAAAGCCCCTGCCATAGAAGGTGTAGGCACCAGATTTGGGAAGATTTAAGCAGTTGCTCCTTCCCAGACTCTAGCATTAAATTGTTAACTTTCTTAGCAACTGTTGCTAGGTAAGACAAGCTTTGCTCATAAAAGCAACTTCAAATAATGACAAAAGGGAACATGATATAGCCATTCATTTTCCTGCTACTTTCTATATTAGTTTCCTATTGCTGCTGTCTTACTCTGTTTTCTGTTGCTTATAATAGAATACTTGAAACTGGATAGCTTATAAAGGAAATTATTTCTTACAGTTTGTGGAGGCTGAGAAGTCCAAGGTGGAGGAGCTGCATCAGGTAAGAATCTTCTTGATGGTGGGAACTCGCTGGGGTGGTACAGGGTAAGACATGGCCAGGGGCTAAGCTCGCATGCTAGCTCAGGCCTCTCTTCCTCGTCTCATAAAGCTGCCAGTTCTCTTCCCATGAGAATCCATTAATCCCTTAATCCATTAATCCCTGTGAATAAATTAACTCACCTTTTAAAGGCCCCACTTCTCAATATTATCACTTTGGGGATTAAAGTTCAACATGAGTTTTGCAAGGGACAAATATTCAAATCATAGCACCATTGTGACAAATTAACACAAACTTCATGGCTTAAATGTAACACAAATTTATCCTCTTGCATTTCTGGAGATCAGAAGTCTAAAATGAGTGTTAGGGACTAAAATCAAGTTGTTAGAAGGGCTTGTTCCTTCTGGAGGTTTCAGAGGAGAATCTGATTCTTTGCCTTTTCCAGCAGGCCATTCATATTCCTTGGGCTCATGGCCTCTCATCATATAGTTTTTTCTCCCTGTGCTTCCTCGGTGACACTGTCTCTTCCTCCAATCTTTTGCCCTGCTTTAAGGACCTTGGTGATTATACCAGGTCCATCTAGTTAATCCAGGATAACCTCCCCGTCTCAAAATCCTAAACTTACCCATATCTGTAAAGTCCCTTTTGCCATATAAAGTAACATATTGACAGGTTCTAGAGATTAGGATCTGGACATATTTACAGGAAAGGAGGGTATTAGTCAGCCTACTACACTTTCTTTTAAATGGGTTTTTAAAGAATTAATTTATTTTAAGGCCAACAGTGGAGGTAATTTCTTTTAGGTTTTTAACAAACGTGATGTTTTGGTGCCATGGTAATAAAACTGGGATATATTATGGTATCTGGAAGGAGAAATTACTTTAACTAAGTCAGCATTCTAAATGATGAAGCCTGGTTTTAAAAAAATCACAGTTAACTAATTTGTTCCTATAATTTTAGAAAACAGCCATAGAAATTCTGCCTATCACAAATATCTGGACAACTGATTACACCAAGTCATTTTTAAAAATTGCCTGACAATGTCATATGCTGCATCTATTCAGGAAGACCATTTTATAATAAGTGAATGCCATCAGTGAAATTAATTTCAACAATATGACTCCCATAGGGCCCTGAGCTAAGTGTACCACAAGTTACACTTTAATTTATATTGACACATACGGCCTGATAACTGACTGATGACTTTAAGTAACTATCAAATTGTGCCAGGTTTGATTTCGAGAAAAGGGTTAACTGGGACTTGGAGAGGAGTTAAAAACAAAGAGATGAATTTGTACTGAGAATGGGGACTACTGTATACACACAGTTTATCATCTGGATTGAGAACTGAGGCTACTTGTGCCAATGACTTTCCTGTGTGTTACTAGAAATTCTTGCCCAGATGGGAGGGTAACTAACTGGCCTTGATTTGCCTGGGACTGCCCTGTTTTAAAACTGAAAGTCCTGAACTGTCTTAGTGTCTGCCAAATTGGAAGAGTTGGACCCCCCATGGAAGATAGGGCTATAAAACCAATAAATAATTTCAGTGTTTGCCTTAGGAAATCCTTGAAAACCAATTTATCAAATGGATAGCTTGCTGATCTAGGCAAACAGCTCTTCCATCAAAACATGAAATTACTCCCCTAGGTAGAGTTAAATATTCACTTAACATTTATCAAACAGTAGTTTGCTAATCAAGACTTGCTTCAAGATCTCATCTGTTATGTTGGGTACCATGTTCATTCTCAACCAGATTCCTGCATGGAAAGATCCTTCTTTAATCACTTGAACTCAGACCTCAAACACTTTAATATCTTCCCCTGACCATCCCGTTCTTAAATACAGCTAACTTTGTAAAAGTGGTATTTCCCCTTAGTGCAGATTTAATAAGCTTAGTTTTGTTTGATCATCCAGTTGTTCCAATGGTCTTTTGGGGGAGCTGGCAGTTAACAATCCTTTACATAATTCTGTTTTAAAGTACAGGAGTGTTTCTCTACTTAAGATCTAAACTTACTTTTAAGGGCTAATGTGGCTGCTTTATTATTATGTGGACATTTACACATAGGAGGTGGTATAGTCTGGTGAAAAGATCCCTAGACTTTAGAGCAAGAAGATACAGGTTCCAGTCCTTTCTGAGAATCACCATGTTCTTTGGCAGATCTCTTAGCCATTCTCAGGCTACTTTCTTAACCATAAACTGACAGGTTTAGATCAGGTGAAGTTCAATGTTCAGAATCTTCAGACTATTTAAAAGTTGTTTTATTTTTGATGGCTATACCCTAATTCAACAGAGAAAGGATGAAAATATCAACACATAGCCAGGCAGACTTTGACACTCAGCATACACAAAGGCTGTCCTACAACTTGTAGCCACTCTGTAAAAAGTATTATAGTTAGGTAATCGTTCCTAAAATTCAATATGATTCTCTCCTCACGCCACTTTTCACAACTCTGTGCTTGACTGACTCTAGTTACTTTGGTTCATTCACGTACACGTTACATGACTTAAGTCTGTACCTTGTACAGTTTCTGTTGCCCTTCTGCCCTGCAATCTTTTGACAGTTCACGCAATACCTCCTCTGCCACCAAACATCAACTTATTCTGTTGAATATAGCAATGTAACATTAAATGCATAAGTTAAAAACAGAAGAACCCTAGTTCTGTGACAACCAAAATACATAAGGAAACCAAAAACAAAGGACAATGTTTACATGAAAAGGCATTTTGTTTCACTGAAGTGCATTTTAAAGTATATGAAGTACATTATACAGAGAGGCACAGCAAATAAATATATATTTGGGGCTCAGTAGTAAAGATTTTATTTAGTTCCATGTAAATTCAATTAGTTAAGTTCTTTAATATTTACAAATCATACATTATTACATTTTCATGTACCTTGCAAAACCACAATAAGTATGACAAATTAAAAATAGCATTATGATAAACTCTACCTGTGCTGTTATTATTACTTGGTAATATTAATAACTGAAGCAAAACTTCAGAGGTGAGATTTACTACTGAGGCCCAATTACAACGATTTGGAGAATTAGGTATACATCTAGAAATGAAAGAGGTCCAGAAAGAATCCTGTGAGAAAGATTTGAATTCTGTAAGTCAGAATCTGGCCAGACATAGGGGCCCAGCCTTGACCTCTGTCCTAGGCCCCTGGGCCAGGTGCCAGGACAGCGAAGGCCTTTCTGCTGCCCGCTCCAGTGGTTGCTAATTATGGGGCTGGGCTTTGTTTAGACTCATTTGTAGCATCATTTCTGTCCCCACTTCCATAAAAGAATGCTTCAGAGAATAAGAAACATTCTGAAAAGAAAAAAACAAAAAGGTCTGCTGGCATATAAACCTCAAAAGAAAAAAATATATATGTAAGGTAAACCTGGTACAATAAGGAGACCTCATCTATTTCTTATCTATTGAGTAGTTCTAGTTTTTAAATGAACTGTAAGTACACTGGGTCTTATGTTTATAACAGGTAATATTTAGTTGTAGTCAAAAACATCATACCTCATTATAACATACTTTTTGTTTTAAAGGAAAACTCCAATTACTCTGGGATATTATTTTATTTAATCTTTATTTTAGTAGCTGAGTGGAAGGATCTTTTTAATTAAAATAAAATTCTGGACCAAAAATAGCTAAAATGGAAACTGAAATATATGAACCATGTGTGACACTATAATAATAACTACTTGCCAGAGCCAACTCAGTTTTTCATATCTCATATTTTTAATAGTGACTTCAGGCTTTAAAATTTGTATTTCATTTTATTTAAAAATGTAAGTTCTATGTCAGGAAGAACATAGTTATTTTGCAAATAGCAAAATACAACTAAACTCTCATGACAGCTGCACCAGTGTAATTCAACTTAAAATATTTAAAACATCGTGCAAATTTAACAGCATGGTTCTTTCATTATACAGAATTTAATAATTAACAAAAACAACTTCTATTCTCATGGCACTTTTATAAGAGGATTTAAGGAAAGAAAAATATTATGAAGCTCACTCTGTGGAAAAAAGAATGAGATAATGGCTGCAGCTGTGAAAGGACAAAATTTATGACAGTTGTATGGTTGCAATTGCTGTCTTCTCTCTTCATTAGCATATTCTAGAACAAGAAACATGATACTGCACACTCATAAAGTCTTTCAGTTGAAGATTTCAGAGCCCTTAATAAAGGTCCATCTGCAGTAACCAGCACTACTAATCCCATTTAGATGTTTTCCGCCTCATGTAACTGTGCCCCTCACTATCAATAGCTTCATAGAGGTCCTTTTTATTCTCTTGTGTTGCATGTAGATAACCAATATATGCCACGCAAAGTGAAAGAGTTACCAATCCAAAAGCCATTACAGGTTTGTTCTGTCAAGAAAAAAGAAATTATAAAGCTTCATTAAGGCTAACAATTTGAGGAGACTCAAATAGCAATTGCACTTTCCTCCTGACGTGCCACATCTTTATTACAACACTAGCATTACCATGGCAACATTTCAATTATAATCATTTATTCAGTTCTTTATTCAATTAGCTAAACTACTGATTACCTAGAGATTATAGAAGACTCTTGCTTCTCCTCTCCAGTCTTCCTCCCAACTACACCCTGACATCTCAGACCTCTACCTTCAGGAAGGTGATAGCTGGGAAAGGACTGGGCCAGGAGAACTGTCAGGGAACTTCTGAGTTTTCAGTGTTGAAGTGGAGAAACTGCTTAACCTCCTGGGTCCTGAATCCAAGTCTCTCATTTGCAAACCTCATTTTATTAGGAAGTGAGTAATGAAGTACACATGCTATTCTTCTTGCCCAAGTCATAAATAACTGGCAAAAATCCTCATATATTAGGCACAGAAATAATGATGATGTATACACTCTTTACTGGGAACCTATTCTATTACCTCAAGAAATTTAGTGATTGGAACAGATATTATGCTGTTAACCTTCATTTACTCTTGGACAATCCAAGGCCATAAGAGGCAAAGTGATGCTTTCAGTTTAAAACCCATACACGGTAAAGCTGGGTTGTTGCTGTTATTATTTTTAAGAGACAGGATCTCACTCTGATGCCCAGGCTGGAGTGCAGTGCTGCAATCACAGGTTACTGCAGTCTCAAACTCCTGGGCTCAAGTGATTTTCCTGCCTCAGGCTCCCAAGTAGCTGAGACTACATGTGTGCACCACCATGCCTGGCTAACTTTTTGTATTTTTAATAAATACAAGATTTCACCACGTTGGCCAGGCTGGTTTCGAACTCCTGACTTCAAGTGATCTGCCCGCCTCGGCCTCCCAAATTGCTGGGATTAACAGGTGTGAGCCACCGTGGCCAGTCTAATTTTAAATTTTTGTAGAGATAGAGTACCATTATGTTGAACTCCTGGCCTCAAGAGATCCCTCTACCTCAGCCTCCCAAAGTATTGGGATTGGAGGCATGGGTAATGATGTAATGATGCCCAGACCAAAAAAAAAAAAAAAAAAAAGCTTTTAAATATAGGAAAGATATTCACAACTCCAGAGAAGTATTTTATGTATTAACTTTGTTATTCCTGAAACTGTACCTTAGACCAAGCACTTCGCGTGTTCACACTCAAGAATTGGCCTTTCTTAGGTCAACGTAAATGCACAGTAGTGATACAAAGAATAGTTTCTGCTTCTGTCACCATACCTGCTGTACCACTACTGAGAAAGAAAAGAAACTCTTTAACTGAGGAATGTAAGCCCCTTTTGAATTACCAGGCCCAGAGAGGCATTGGAATGAGATAGTAATCATGTCTTGGGCTAAGTAATAATTCTGAAGCGCTTGCTATGTGGGTTCTGGACTGACACCATCAATAGCTATACATTAACCTTACAATGCCATCCGCTAGACATCATAACTTATACCCTATAGTTCACAATGCAGAGTCATTACTAATCAATATCATTTCTGCAAACCAATGAAAATTACTGAAAAGCAACTTTTGTACTTGTGCCCTCTCCTGATTCATCTTTTTTCTTAAAAACTCCAGCCTCTCCTTTGTTCTCCAGAGCACTTCCCAAGGTTACTCTGAAGTGTTTCCCAGGCTGCAGTCCTCAATGTTGGCCCAAATAAACTTTCTACCTATATTAATTTGCCTCAGTTTCTTCCTTTAAGAGACATTTCTATTTCAAATCTTAATCACAAAAGAATAAGGGTCAAACTTTTTCACTTAGATGAACACCTAATAAAGAACACAGACTAAGCAGTTTAAACGTACAATTCTTGAAATGCTTTTAGCAATTAAAAGAACACATTAGTTCAAAGCTTTTAAAATATTTTACCTTGATTTAATGATCTGATTAAGTTGACCTATTTAACTTTAAAACAGTTTACACTCCTATGTTAATAAAATTCTAATCAGATTCAACACACTAAAATTTTATATTTTAATTTAATTTTATGTTTATTTTAAAATAGTATTTACATTTATTTAAAAATAAACTTCAGCCAGACGGGCCTGGTGGCTCATGCCTGTAATCCCAACAATTTGGGAGGCTGAGGTGGGAGAATCGCTTAAAGCAGGGAGTTGAAAACGAGCTTGGGCAACATAGTGAGACTCCATCTCTACAAAAAATTTAAAAAATGAGCCAGGCATGACAGCGTGCACCTGTAGACCCAGCCACTCTGGAGGCAGAGGTGTGAGGATCACCTGAGACCAGGAGTTGAAGCTGCAGTGAGCTATAATTGCACCACTGCACTATAGCCTGGGTGACAGAACCTCTAATAAGGAAATAAATACATGAATTTCATCAAATCAAATGTTTTGGAATTTTTCACAAAGTATCTATAATATTGCTTAGATAAAAACATTACCTACCGACTAGAATTGCAGTCTGTAAGAATGGTCATATTTTCATTTTGGTTTCCTTGCTTAAGTGGAAGGTCTTATTTACCTTATAGTAACTAATCAAACAACAAAAGTTGTCTTCAAATTAATGCAACTAATAAAATAGTACTTTAGATAGTTTGAGAAGCCGATCCATTAAAGGGCAACCATTTTCCTCAAATATCCTTAAAATATTTACTTTCAAATGTCCTTAAAATATTTACTTTTATATGTGTATTTATATGTGAAACAACATTTTCAATCATCCTTCCATCTGCTTTTATTCACAGAGAAGTCTTATTTGTCAACGTAAAATTTCCAGGATAAAACCAATTACAAGAAAACTAGAACTTTCTATTTCTGACAGTCTGGTTGGATTAAACATAAAGCCTTATCTTGTATGTATTTCTTACAGGTTTAATGAAGAGCTCTGGATTCACAGCACGAAATAAGGTTGTTGTGCGCACTCCTCTGAGCCCTGGGCTTTCAAAGTCTTTCTCTTTGGGTGCTTCTCTTTTGAATGTTGGAGGCTCAGGTGCTGAAGACATCTTAATCAATGATGATTTATTATACCTAAAAACAAAACAATATGTTTTTTTCCCTTTATAACTGTACTTCTCTAATAAATTTCTTTAACAAGTCATTTTTTTTATCATGCATGTTGCAGGGAATAAAAAGTCATTCTTAAATTATTTATTTGAATTCTAACCCAGATACATACCAAATGTGATAGTAAATTATCTTATTGCTTTGTATAATGCACTTTGTAAATGGTGCTTTCATTCATGATTTTAATTTTCATCTCAAAAGAGGTGGGTAAATGTTGTTTTGCTACTTTTCAACTGGTCTGAGTCACATCATATCACATGGAAACAGGACTAAGAGTAGGTGAGGCCAGTAGGTTATCCGTTCACTTCATTTCCTTGTTTTCCGGCTTCCTCACCTTTCAACAGCCCCTCCAGAACACCAACCTGAGGAAAGGACCATCATTCCTTCGCTTATTATCTTCTCCTACAGATTCACTCCTGGCCAGTTTCCCCTACTGCTCCTCTTTCTTCCTCCATTAGCCCACCCACATACTCATTTTCCCAGGCACTCCTCCTTTGCCAATCAACAACTTTCTGGGTTGGTCATGCCCTGCTATCTCCTTAATCTGAATATCCTTTTTTATCTTAGTTACTCTAAATCTATCCTATTAAATCCAAGTGTGTCTTCTGACTTCTGGTTTTCCTAGCTGAAATGTCAGCACTTTGGAAGTATTTTTCTCTTCTAGGTATTATTAGGCAAAAGCTTATTCTTATCATCTCTGCCATCTAATGCTGGGATGAGACATGAGGGTTGAAAGAGAGGAGGTAGAGAAAGCAAGCTTCCAAAGATGGATATTAATAACAATATAGTAAAATTATTTGGGAGAAATGCTGCAACTCACTGTACAGTAAATGTTATAAAAGAGCCAAACATTCATATTTAAACACACATTGGGGCTTTGTTTGTACAAGTATTCTTTTTTTTTTTTGAGACAGTCTTACTCGATTGCCTAGACTGGAATGCAGGTGCAGTGCCACAATCATAACTCATTGCAATCTGCAACCTCGAACTCCCAGGCTCAAGTAATCCTCCCACCTCAGCCTCCTGGGTAGCTAGGACTACAGGCATGCACCACAACACCTAGGTAACTATTTTGTGTGTGTGTGTGTGTTTGTAGGGATAGGGTCTTGCTATGTTGCTCAGGCTGGTCTCAAACTCCTGGCCGTAAAGCAATCCTGCCTCTGCCTCCCAAAGTGCTAGGATTATAAGCATGAGCCACGACACCTGGCCAGTACAAGTATTCATTAAGCTTACTATTTTATAGACTTTAAAAAATCAATATTTACAGAACTTTGTAGTTAAGGAAAAAACTAGGAGCTTGCTTTTTCAAAATACTTTGTGTTACAATAGTCACTAAATATAAATCTATACCACTTAATTGGGTATGTACCTCAAGAGGAACATCTGCTTGAAGAAAAATGAATGCTCTAGACACTTTCTACACTTGCAAAGACTTCAGAAATGTTCACTGTTGCTGGTTCTCTCACTTATTCCTCAAGCATATTATGCTCTTCATTGTTGCCTTCTTCATTGATATCACCATGGCTTTCTGGTTCAATTTTTACATCAGTTAGCACTCCTGTAGCAACTTCAGGATTTGATAACTTGGGAAATAGTTAAATTACTATCTGTAGCCACACCGTCTTCAAAATCAAACTGGTTTGGGACATCAATGACAAGTAGCAGTTGAGTGCTAGATTGGTTCAAACACCACATTTGGCTGCAGTCTTCTTCCAGGAAGACCTCAGGAGACTCCAAAGGAATCAGGCCTGTTTTCTGTTCACACTTCATGACTGAAGACAAATTCATAGACCACCAGGTCTCCACAATCACGTCCATAGCTTATTCACGTTGCTTGTCTCCGTTTTCTCTTCATCCTCTACATTTAGAAAGAGTTGTTCCAGCAACTGCTTTCAGAAGTGAGCTTTCACTGTGCCAATTTTACCCTGATCCAATGGCTGTGTAGTTCAATGGGGGAAAACTCAACCCATACATGATCAAAGTGTGGAGTATGTTGTGGGCAGAGCAACTGTCTATCAGCAAGAAGATACCGTGTATTGCTCCTTGCACTCCCTTGTCAATCTTTATCAGCCATTCAGTAACACATTTCTCATTATTCAGGCATGTGTATTGGCTTAGTAATCACGGGGGAACATTTCTGAAGCACTGAGAGTTAGCTAACTTGCCAAAGACGATTGTTCCCGAATGCATTACAGTAGAATACAGCAATCATCAATCTCTGTTTATTTCCTGTGCAAAGTCTACCTTTGGCGGGCAGCATATGATAAGGTAACAAGGATACCTATTTCATTAGCATTTAAAACTCCATTCAGGCTGGGCAAAGTGGCTCACGCCTGTAATCAGTGTTTTGGGAGGAAGAGGTAGAAGAATTGCTTGAACCCAGAGTTTGAGACCAGCCTGGGCAACATAGCTAGGCTCTGTATCCAAAAAGAAACAAACAAACAAACAAGCCATTCGAGCTATAACCAGTAATTTGTTTTTGTCTTAAAATTTCTCCTGCACATAAGTTAATAATTTTCTCTACCAAAACAGTGTTTTCTTCACCACAGGCAACTTGTCAAATGATTCCAGAATATGCCTGAAGTTTGTTCAGGCAGCCTGCACTTGCTTGAAACTCATCATGCCTGGATGTTTGTCCCCTCCAAATCTCAAGCTGAATTGTAACCCCCGGTGTTGAACTGAAATCCCCAGGGTTGAAGGTGGAATCTGGTGGGAAGTATCCAGATCATGGGAGCAGATCCCTCATGAATAGCTTGGTGCCATCCTTGTGGTAATGAGAGAGTTCTCACTCTGAATTCACGTGAGATCTGGTTGTTTAAGAGTATGACACTTCCTCCCTCCCCTCTTGCTTCCTGTCTCACCATGTGACATGCCTGTTCCCACTTCATCTTCCAGAACTGAAAGCTTCTTGAAGCCCTCACTAGGGGCAGATGTTGGCACCATGTTTCCTGTAGAGCCTGCTGAACTGTAAGCCAATTAAATCTCTTTTCTTTTCTTTTTTTTTTTTTTTTTTTTTGAGACTGAGTTTCGCTGTTGTTACCCAGACTGGAGTGCAATAGCACGATCTCAGCTCACTGCAACCTCCGCCTCCTGGGTTCAAGCAATTCTCCTGCCTCAGCCTCCCAAGTAGCTGGGACTACAGGCACGCACCACCATGCCCAGCTAATTTTTGTATTTTTTAGTAGAGACGGGGTTTTACCTTGTTGACCAGGATGGTCTCGATCTCTTGACCTCGTGATCCACCCGCTTCAGCCTCCCAAAGTGCTGGGATTATAGGTGTGAGCCACTGCACCCGGCCATAAATTCTTTTCTTTATAAATTACCCAGCATCAGGTATTTCTTATAGTGATGCAAGAACAGACTAATGCAATGCCCAAGGTTGGCAAAAATCCAATGCTTTCTACAGCATAGTTACGTGCCCATTTCTTGCATGAACCCTATACCATGCAAAAACAGTGACAAAAGAGACCTCACTTTCACTTCTGCTATAGTCCTAGAAACCCTCTTTAAATGTTCTCTTCAATCTTGGCTCAATGTTTTAAAACTGTGAACAGGAGGTGTAGTGGTATTAAATTCCTTTGCTATTTCTCCTGTCTTGTGGCAGCAATCTACTGCTTCTACTACCATCCTTTTTTTCTTCTAAGAAGTACTACTGGTGTTTCATCTTTCTTCTCTTAGCCAGGATGGTATTTATAAATCATGATGGGTTTATAAATATATTTAGAATTTAAGTAACAAATGTTGGCCACCAGGTGCCTATACCAGGTGTCAGTGATGTTTCTCCCTGCGCTAAAAACTTGAGTATAAATGTGGGTACTACAGTTTGGATATTTGTCTCCCAAACCTCACACTGAAATCTGATCTCCAGTGTTGGAGGTGAAGTCTAGTGGGAGGTGTTTGGGCCATGGGGGTGGATCCCTCATGAATAGATGAATACCTTCCCTAAAGGAGGGAGGGAATCAAGTGAGTTCTCACTCTATCAGTCCTCTGGAGATCTGGTTGTTAAAGAGTCTGGCATTTCCCTCTCTTTCTAGCTTCCTCTCTCTTACCATCTGATCACTGCACACACTTGATCATTGTCACCTGCCGCCATGAGTGGAGGCAACCTGAGCCCCTCACCAGAAACATGCTGATACCATCTTCCTGTACAGCCTGCAGAACCATAGTTCCTCAGATCATAGTTTATCACATATACTTTGTGTGGATGATAATGTGCCATGAATTGAGGACTGATGAACTCACTCCACAACTGATGTCCAAAATTATATAAAATTATGTTATATATAATTATATATTAATTTTTATAGTATACATAATTAACATAATAACTTATATGTTAAACAATGATTTATTGTAATATACAATTTACATTATATATTATTATTACTCTATATACTTTATATACTCACCTGGAGTATATAAAATTATATGCTATATATAATTTTGGATTTAAGGTGTGGAGTGAGTTAATCAACCCCCCAGGGAGGGCATTAATCTATTCACGAGGGATCTGCTGCCATTCGTGTGTGTGTGTGTGTGTGTGTGTGTGTGTGTATGGGGGGGTGAGAAAGATAGAGAGGCTAGTTACAGCTAACAAAAATGTCACTATTTTATAATTAAATGCATGCAGTGATGCTGTTATGAAATTCAACCTATATGAAATGTCTGTAAAAAACTATATATAGTATTCTAACACTAATTGTGATGACTTAATTTTAATTGTAAGATTGCTTTATCTCCTTTTTTCCTTAGCAGAACCTATATTTCTTTTGTAATGAATCAATAAAATAAGCAATCAGGGTAGTACTTGTTATATTGCAACTCCTGGACACCCACATTTACCTTAATAATTCACTGTTTATGTTCAACTCTTTGCTAGAAATGACAAAGAATATTTGGACTGGAAACTCACATATATATTTTAAAAGATTTAAT